CTTTCTCTACCACCTATTTCTCTTCCTTCACTTTCTTTTTTTTTTTGAGACAGAGTCTCAAGCTGTCCCCCTGGGTAGACTGCCATGGCATCACAGCTCAAGCAACCTCCACCTCCTGAGCTCAAGCGAGTCTCCTGCCTCTGCCTCCCAAGTCGCTGGGACCACAGGCACCCGCCACAACGCCTGGCCATTTTTTGGTTGCAGCCGTCATTGTTGTTTGGTGGGCCGGGCTGGATTCAAACCCGCCACCTTAGGTGTATGTGGCTGGCGCCTTAGCCACTTGAGCCACAGGTGCAGAGCCACTTCCTTCACTTTTTAAAAACTGTTTCTCAACTCCAAGAGACAAATCTCCTTGCCCTACACTCCAGTGCAGTTCCCATAACCCGCAAGAAGAATCTATGCTTATCATTCTCATCTGGCCTCTTGGCTAAGGTGACCAGGTGTCCTGCTTTTGGCGGGACAGTCCTGAGTTTTAACAATTTGTCCTGTGACCCACAGCAATTCTAAAAAGTCCCGATTTTTGGAAAGAAAGCACAGCATGACAAGCTAGGGAACAGCAGGAGAATGGGAAGGGAATATATGGCTGCTGAAAAGGTTAATGTAACTCCATTTGGAAATGAAGAGGTTAATGTAACCTCATTTGGAAATGAAAAGGCTAATGTAAACTCCCTACTCCCCTCCTCGGCAAGGTCACCCAGGTGGAATTGTATCAGAAGGATACTGGCTCCCTCTCTCCCTTCTAGGCAAGGACAATTAGCTCAGAAGGAGCCAAACTATCTGGAACAAACAAATAGTCCACCCCCTCTAAAGGGTCCCTAACCATAAACAGCTCAGCGAATTACCCACCCACCACCCCACCCCCCATCAATGGTGTCCCGCTTTACCAATGTTATAATCTGGTCACCTTACTCTTGGCACATCACTGCTCTACCAAACACTCTATTTGTCTACTGGAGACGTTAGACAGGATGAGAGGAACCAAGAGTGTTCCTCACTGCATCCTCTGTCCAATCGAGAAGAACACAGAGCCTAAAATGGAAATTGCTAATGTTCAGTGATTTGTAGATATGGATAGAAGGAGGCAATTTGTGGATCTCTCAGGGACAAACTTGTACTGCCCAAGCTTATCTGAGCTGACGCTTGACTGCCTCTCCTCAATGAGAAGATGAGCCAAACTCATTATTTTGTG